TACGGCTTTTGAACACATGTAGGCCTTGGATTTCTCCTTAGCCCGCCTGAAACACACCATGCTTTGCATGCATTTCTATGGGTGAAGGAAAATTCATGCGCCGTGATGACGTCACGGTAAAGGAATTCTGAAGCTCGTGAACGGGGGCTGGTTGCCGCCCCCCATAGAGTTTTTTTTCTCGCGATATCTCCAAACACACTGGCGATAGAGAGCTGCAACTTGACATACCTGACCGTTGATTCAATCCGGAGCTTTTGACACCAACCGCATTTTCGAATCAGACTAGGTCACTGACCCATGACGTCACAAGTGAACCTCTGCGCGGTCTTCAGATGTCGAAAATTCGCAACGCCCTCACTGCCAGAGGAGCTATCACAGGGAAATAAAACTTGCAGGATCTAGTATCCATTACGAGTCTTACAACTTGTATCTCTCGGATTTTTCCTAAAGGTCATATGAGGTCAGGTCATTTTCATGACCTCACCATTATACTCGTAAGTCAATGGGGAAAAATAAAAAAACTGCTATTTTGGCGCCGGAAACGATCTCCAACTATCTCAAGCACACATAATATCGTGATTTGATGCACTCCTTGCAAGGTTAGATGCGTCACTTTTGTAATGTTGACCTTGCGTGACGTCATTTATGACGTCATCAAAGTCATATTAGTTTTTCGTCAATAACTCCCGATCAAATTGAAATAGCGAGTCGGGAAAGCCACCAATGGACTCAAGAAGACCTGCCGAATGGAATGATATGCGACATGACCTTTTTCGACCAGCTTCGTGACCTGGGGGCGCTGACCTGAGCGTGACCTGAGGTCAACACCCTAAGTTGACATGACCCAAACAAAAATTAAGTATATCGTTCGACGCGCCTGAGCGAGGCGAACACGATGCTGCCAAAACCGCGGCTCTGCGGCCGTTTTTTGCGAAGTTATTCATCAACAACTGAACTGTACCTTGGGGCACTTGTCCTGACCTCAGAGGTCACCGGTTAACCTAGGAGTTTAAAATCGGGTACCAATCTCTGCGTCTCGTAACGGCGCACACGCTCGTTTTTCTGCGACGCGCTAGCTCCACCAGGGGCGAAACGGCGAGGGGGGTCGTACCCCCAAATCGGCCGGCACGTACATATGTAGAAAATCAATAGGTCCGGCGAGGGTTAAGCCAAGCGCCGCCACTGCAAATCGGTAATTGCAAGTCAGGGGCCCCAATTTGGCTATATCACCTCGAAATTTGTGTTAAGGTGGGATGGTCACTGTCCATGCTGCTGTAGTCCAAGTTTGAGATGTTTGACCTGACTTTGAATCAACCTATGACCTTACATCTAACTTTTAACCTTCCTGGCGGTGGTGAGGGGGCTTTTTTGCCCCCCTTTAGTTTTTTCGATATATCTCGAGAACCGCTGCGCCGATCGTCACCAAACTTTCAGTACCTTCCCGGGAGTAGCTAGCGCACATGGTGACCGACATATTTACCAAAGGCTATGATAGGTTGGCCGCTAATGACGTCAGAGTGACGTCATTTCTGCCATTTTCGACAAAAAAAGGTTTCCCGAGAAGAGCTGTCAGGCCTACAGCTTTAGAGATACATAAAAATGTTTCAACATAAAAGGTGTGAAATTAAAAGGGCTACAAAACTGTTATTTTGATTTTTCGAATTTTTGGATTTTGATCCTCAAAAATGAAAAATAGATTTTTTTTAAATATAATAGCCGAAAAATCCAAAAAGTTTTTTGAATTTCGAAAAAACGGAATATATGTGATAGTCCCTGCCGCGTTCTATCTACATACCAAATTTGAGATCAATATCTCTATTTTTGGCCAAGTTATAGCGAAAAAACTGTTCAAAATTGATTACGGCAAATTTTCAAACTCAATTTGTAGCAATTCTAAACCTCGTAGCGCAAAACAAAGACCACCTTGAGACTCCCCGTGACGAGCTGCATCGAATCAATACCCATTTTATGCAAAAATATAAACTTTGAAATTTTACCTTTTTTGACCTGACCTTAACCTGACCTCCACCCGAAAGTGACCTAAACCGTACCTGATGGTCTTATAACCAACACCATTGAGTTGGAAATAAAAAACTGGTCATAAAACATGCATCGCACAACTTTAGTAAAGTTGGGCTCATGTGGTGACCTTTGGTGACCTTTGGTGACCTGACCTGTGACCTGACCTGGTATGACCAGTGACCTCTAATAGCAACATATGTACTAGACAACTGACGCCTTATCGCTGATTTTCGACAAAATGCGTTTTACTCGGTGTTATAGAGCTTTCCCTAGAAGCCCCGTGAACGTTGAAACATTTTATCTTTGACCTGACCTGTGACGTCATCGGTGACCCCGAGGTCAATGAAATTTGGTTTCCTTCGACAAATTTGACAGGGCTATCGAAGCTGTTTGAATTTTCCGGATCCGTCCAGTAGTTTCGGAGATACGGGGGGGGGGAAATACCCCCCCCACCGCGCGGAAGGTGGCCAGGAGGCCTACCGCCTGCCGGGTTAACCCGCGCCCCAGTGGCGGTCTCAGCCAACTTCGCCCTAGTGGGGGGAGGGGGGGCATATGTTACCACCCACCTCTTACTTGAAAACTAAGAGGGCTAGGAAGACGCGGTAAAAAGCAGTCGATAGCACTCAATGCGTACGTTTGAAAGTATTTAGGTCATTTTTCATCTTAGAGCAATATTGGGGTCACTGGAGGTCATCAAATGTCAAAATTTGCCAAATGTCATTATATTTTTCAGAAAACATCTCAAGAACTAGAGCTAGAAAAACGCATGGAACAGCAATCGATAGCATTTGAACTCTTCTTTTGATAAGGTTATCATCAAAATTGACCTCAGGTCACCGGTTTAGCCTCCAGAGGGCAAAAACTCCAAAAATAGCTGTTTTTACAAAAAGTGTTTTTCGACAATAACACGCGCACTGCAGGGGGTTTGTTTTCAACCCCCCCTCCTCTGGTTTTTTCGCTGTAACTCAAAAACCAGTAACCAGTAACTTTGAAACTTTGTATAGCTGTTCATTAAACAATTTTACATCATTTTTGAAAAAAATTGTGTTAGGTCATGCAAGGTCAGGTCACCAGGTCACGATAAGTGACCTCACCTCATAAAAAGTTTGACGCTGTGCTACATCCACACCATTTGACTGAATGCTATGAAACTTTCAGAAACATATTAGGAGACCATAAGAAACATTTTGTATATTTCGAAATTTTTATTTCTGTGACCTTAGGTCAGGTCACTTGTTGGGGCCCGGCATGCAATTCAACGGTCACCAACGGTTTTTCTTCAATAACTTTTAATTGAACAGAGATAGAGACTCCGTTCGACGTTTATCGTGTTTGTCTCGTCAATGCGGATCGAATGATATGCAACATGACCTATTTCGGTCAGGTCATGACCTTGACCCGAGGTCAACTTTTGAACTTGACCTTTCGAGGTCATATTATATACCATGCGATGCGCCTTGACGAGCTAAGAACGATGGTGTGTGAATTATTTGTCTATCTCTTTGGGAAGAAAAGTTGTTGCAGAAAAAGCATTTCCGGAAAATTTGCAATATTGATCTGACATTACATGACCTCTATAGGCTGAACCGTTGACCTTAGGTCAAATCTGAGGACAGTATCGCAAAAGAGCGTTTCAACAGCTATCGAATGCTTTTTTTCGCAACTTTCTAGCTCTTCTAGTTCCAAAGATAAAGCGGGAAATATGGAGGGATGTCGAGATCGCTAAAAATCGCAACATTTTGAGTTTGGTGACCTCTGCTGACCTCGTTTTTGACCTGACCAAAAAATGATCTGAGTATTTTTTGTAGATCTCATCTCAATAAATCCAACGCCGTTTACCGCTTGTCGCTACGTTGCGCCGTTTTTGAGATCTCAGGGGGGTTGTTTTCAACCCCCGCCCTGCAGTTCGTGTTCGGCTCAGACCCGCTGCAGTGCGCGTGATAACTTTTGACTTAAAAAAGCCGCGACATTTCTATTGCCAGAATCGTGTTCCTCTCGCCGAGACGCGTCAAATGAACTATGATTTAACCTCGAAAGGTCAACTTGAAAATTTGACCTCAGGTCAAGGTCATGACCTGACCGGAAAAGCTCATGTTGCATGTCAGTCGATGCGTCTCAACAGGACAAACACAATGAGACCATCCCTAGCGTTCTATCTCTTTCCAATCGAGAGTTATTGGCAAAAATCTGTTTGTAGCCTCAAATGACCTCGGATGACCTTTCTAGAGGCTATCAGCAAAAATGACACCTTGGTCATCATGAGTGGACTAAATCATTGTGATTCTGAAATATTTGGACTGTTCCTATGCGTACACACGGATCTAGAGGCATTTTCATTTTTCTCTATTGACTTGTAATAGAAAGGTCACGCCTCTGACCTGACCTTAGGTCATGGATATAAGAAATACGAGATAAACAAATTGTAGGCGCCCATAACAGCATGCAATCCACCAAGTTTAAAACCTTTCTGACAAACACTGCAGGCTGGACATGATTGCGAACTTTTTTAGGCTTGGTCAGTTAACTTGACCTGGTGACCTGACCTGACATGACCTGGGGTCAAAAATTTCACACCTTGTCCAAAATTGATGTACCAAAAGATACCCCAAGCGGCGCGACGCTACGCGCCGCGGTTTTTTATTCAAACGAAAAAAACGCGACAGGGTGGTAACATATGCCCCCCCACACTGGGGCGAAGGTTAAGTGCTCATCCTAAGCGTCTCGTCGCATTCTTTCGTTTGCCTGCCTTGCGCGCTGCGCTGCGCCTTTTGGTTCTCGAATTATCGGCTAGGGGTATTTACCGCCCCCTCCCCCCCACCTCCCAGCAGCTGGTGGGTGGCGGAACACCCCAGCTACTTCCGGGAATAGGGATCACATTGGCAAATGATAAGTCCTTCCAAGTTTAGAATAAAGCGACGGCATAAAACGAATAGTTAAGGTGTCCAATTTGCTCTGGTATCCACTAGCTGGGCACTTACGGATCCAACTTGACCTCCGCTCTCTTGCACCTCTGGAGCCATCCAGTCCAGAGTGCCTTTCCAACTTGTCATGGCCTGAGTGCCCGATGTCAGCTCTTTGGATATACCAAAGTCGGTGAGCTTGGCCACGATGCCATCTTTCTCGTCCCGCACCAACAAGATGTTTTCGGGCTTGATATCCCGGTGCACTGGAAAAGAACATGTTTCTGTGTTACATAGGGAAGGGTGGAAGGACATCGCCACGATGTCCTCAGGCTTACATGCACTGACGACACTTGTGTTTTGTGACTGGCTGAGGGGGATTAGGAGATCGAAAATTGGGACAGGATCGGTGAGGAAGGCGACAGTCGCTGCCTGATCAAGACTCCTCAGCGGCGAGGGCGCCGTGAGCAGACAGATCTACCGATACTTCGACGCCTCGATAGCGAGGTTGGCCGAAGCCGACTGGCCGCACCCCTTGTATGGAAAGAGGCCCCTTTCCCCGGTCTCGATGGCGAAACACGGGAAAAGAGTTAAGCCCTCGGTTTTCGCTGGCGAAACACCGGTGGCCGCCCCCTCACACACCCCAACGAGGTGAGAAAAGCCGAGGTCCCCGGAAGTAGGACGTGTCACAGTCACAAGCGTTTGTGGCCTGCCGTAAGTCATCGCACTTCCGTAACTTCCGTCTCTCACTTTTCTCTCACAGTCACTGAGTTCAACCACTGGATATTTATTGTCACTTCTCACAATTCACTCCAGAATCCAGCTTCACTCCTCACCCCCACCAGACAGCGTTACACCCACACACAGACAGACTAAACCCGCCTACGGCTCACCCGCCCGAGATCAGCTCGCTGGTGCCCCGCGGCGCGGGACACCAGCGACCAATCAGCGCGCTCCCCGCGCATGACCTCACCAGGTCAGACACGCCTCGGGCGCCACGTGGCCGCAGCGGCCGGCTCGGCAGCTACACGGGCCGGCCGGCGACTCGGCGGGTACCGCTCAGCAGCGGTCAGTGACAACAGTGGGGTCAATTTGAACATGTTTTTACGCCTTCTCCGTCGTACCAAATTACAGCTCAATCCTGGATGAAGGAAAACTGTTTCAGTAGCGCAAATGTCACTTGCTTGCAACATGCAAGCCTCATTTTTGGACGAGCCGAGCATACCTCGAAAATAGCATACCTAGCCTCACTTCTACACCAAGTCACGGTGTGTTCAAACTGCCCAACCGTGGGGTAATTTGAACATACTGCCTTAACCCGCGCCCCACTGGGAGGCTATTTATAGCCCCCCCTCCCGTTTTTCTGCAATAACTTCCAAACCGCTTGACGTATCAACGCAAAACTTTCAGTACCTTCGGCTAAATCAATTCGACACCTTGTGTCAAAATTTGAGCTTCGTACCTACCATAGGTCGGCCGGAAATGACGTTAGAGTGACGTCATGTTCGGCCGATTTCGACGCAAAACATTGAACCACGGCAATCGCTCCCAAGAGCTCAGTTTTTAAGCTAGATCCAATTTCTTTGCATAAGAGGACTTAGGATAGAGTGCGCTATCAAACTGCTATCTCGAATTTTCGAAATTTTGAAAATTTCGAAAATTTAATATAATAAAATTCAAAATTTATGTTTTTACATTTTTCCAAAACATTTTGTATTTTCGAAAAACCGGAATATTTGTGATAGAACGCATTATTATGACTAACTCTAGCAAGTTTAAGCTAAACATCTTCAAAAATGGCCAAGTTATACGCATTATTGCAAAAAATTCACAATTATTAATTTTTCAAATCAATTTTTCAGCACGTATTTGACATCGTACGCCAATATAAATAGCACCATCGTGTTCCTGAGTTTAACCCGCGCCCCGTAGGGCTACCGGCGGACCCTACCACCCGTAGGGGGGGGCCGTTTCGGCCCCCCCCTAATATCTCGGAAAGTTACCGGCCGATTTTCAAAATTCAAACGGCGTTTGATAGCCCTACCCGGGAACTACCTTGTGACCAAATTTCATTGACCTAGGTCAAACCGATGACGTCACAGGTCAGGTCAAAGGTCAGATTTTCACCGTTCACAGGCAATTCAAGAAATGTGCTGTGAAATCGAGTAAATTGGTAATTTATTGAAAACCATCGATGGTATATTGTTCGTCAAACACGTACTTTGCTATCTGAGGTCACTGATACCAGGTCAGGTCACAGCGAGGTCAGGTCACCGGGGGTCACAATATGAATGTGTCGTGTGATACATGTTTTATGGTCCATTTTACATGACAAATGCGATTATGTGGGTTAGGCAGCCTTTGGGGCCAGCCTAGGTCACGTTTTGGTGAAGGTCAGGTCAAGGTCAGGTCAAATTAGGTCAAATTTCAAAGTTGATATTTTTGCATAAAATGGGTATCCATTCGATGCAGCTCGTCACGGGGAGTCTAATGGTGGTCTTTGTTTTGCTCTACGAGTTCTAGAATTGCCAAAAATTGAGTTTGAAAATTTGACGTCATCATTTTTGAACAGTTTTTTCGCTATAACTTGGCCAAAAAACGAGGTATCGATCTGAAATTTGGTATGTAGATAGAAGACGGTAGGCACTATCACATATATTCCGGTTTTTTCGAAACTGAAAAAACTTTTTGGATTTTTTGGCTAATATATCCAAAAAAATGCTTTTTTGATTTTTGGGGATCAAAACTCAAAAATTTCAAAAATCCGAGATAGCAGTTTTGTAGCCCTGTCAATTCTACACCTTTTATGTCTTGATCATTTTTCTGTATCTTCAAAGCTGTAGGCCTGACAGGTCTTCTCGCGAAGGTCTTTTTTCGGTCGAAAATGACAGAACATGACGTCACTCTGACGTCATTTGTGGCCAACCTATCACAGCCTCTGAAAAAATTTTTGGTCACAATGTGTAAAATTGATGCCCGGAGGGGTCCTGAAAGTTTGGTGGCGATATCTCCAGCCGTTTAGGAGATATCGACCGAAAAGGACAGGGGGGGGGCCGTTTCGGCCCCCCCCTACGGGGCGCGGGTTAAACTGCATCCAATAGACACCTTTTTGTTGAAAATTTTAACTTCAAAATTTGACCTTTTTTGACCTGAAAGTGACCTGACCTAAGCTAAATTTGACTCAAAATGACCTCGAATGACACAGACGACATCAAATTCGAAATTTTTGGCCTAAATGGACCATAAAACATGTGTCACGTGACCGACGCATGATATAATATTTTCGTGACCTGTGATGACTTGACCTTGACCTGAAAATCAAAGTACAAGTTTGGTACCCTCAGGGTATCTAGAGCATCTGTTCACGAGTGTGTGAACCAAAAAGGAGCCTGATCTGACTTGTAAGGCGGCGGCCAGAGCCCAAAACGTGAGCAAGCCAAAATGCTAATAACTTTTATTTGACCTAACCTGTGACGTCATCGGTGACCTAGAGGTCAATGAAATTAGGTTTAATAAGACAGTTTTTCCGGGGCTATCAGACGCCGTTTGAATTTTGACGATCGGCCCAGTCGTTTCGGAGTTAGGAGGGGGGCTATGAATAGTCCCCCCCCCCCCAGTAGGGCGTGTTATACGCAGACCCCAGTGGGGCGCGGGTTAAAATGCCATAAAAACGAAAACCTCGCCAGCACCGATGTTGTTTGATCCATGAGCAAATAGGCAGAACAATTTAAAACATACCTTCATTTGAAAAATCAACAAAACAACAAAAATAACAGTTGCAGAGTATCAACATCTGCACGCTGCACACCGGTCAGTTGACAGAAGTCGCCTCTCTTCAATTAACCCGCGCCCCACTGGGGGGGGGGGCTATTTATAGCCCCCCCTCCCGTTTTTCTGCAATAACTTCCAAACCGCTTGACGAATCGACGCCAAACTTTCAGTACCTTCGGCTGCATCAATTTGACACCTTGTGTCAAAATTTGAACTTCGTAGCTACCATAGGTCGGCCGGAAATGACGTCAGAGTGACGTCATGTTCGTCCGAATTCGACGCAAAACATTGAACCACGGCAATCGCTCCCAAGAGCTCAGTTTTTAAGCTAGATCCAATTTCTTTGCATGAAAGAACTTAGAATTGACCGCGCTAACAAACTGCTATCTCGGATTTTCAAAATTTTGAAAATTTCGAAAATTTTATATAATAATATTCAAAATTTATATTTTTATATTTTTTTCAAAAAGTTTTTTACTTTTCGAAAAAACCGGAATATATGTGACAGAACGCATGATAATGACTAACTCTAGCAAGTTTTAGCTAAATATCTTCAAAAATGGCCAAGTTATACGCATTATTGCAAAAAATTCACAATTATTAATTTTTCAAATCAATTTTTCAGTACGTATTTGGCATCGTACACCAATATAAATGGCACCATCGTGTTCCTGAGCTCAAACTGCATCCAATAGACACCTTTTTTGTTGAAAAATTTCAACTTCAAAATTTGACCTTTTTTGACCTGAAAGTGACCTGACCTAAGCTAATTTCGACTCAAAATGACCTTGAATGACACAGACGACATCAAATTCGAAATTTATGGCCTAAATGGACCATAAAACATGTGTCACGTGACCGACGCATGATATAATATTTTCGTGACCTGTGATGACCTGACCCTGACCTGAAAATCAAAGTACAAGTTTGGTACCCTAAAGGTATTTAGAGCATCTGTTCACGAGTGTGGAAACCAAAAATGAGCCTGATCTGACTTGTAAGACGGCGGCCAGAGCCCAAAATGTGAACAAGCCAAAGTGCTAATAATTTTTACTTTGACCTGACCTGTGACGTCATCGGTGACCTCGAGGTCAATGAAATTAGGTTTCGCTCGACAGTTTTTCCGGGGCTATCAGACGCCGTTTGAATTTTGACGATCGGCCCAGTAGTTTCGGAGTTAGGAGGGGGGGCTATGAATAGCCCCCCCCCCCAGTAGGGCGTGTTATACACAGACCCCAGTGGGGCGCGGGTTAACAGAACGCCTATCATTTCATGCACTTTCTGAGTAGTTCCCTCAGATTTGACTTAGCGTCAACGATTTTGCCGACAGGGGGCAAAAACTGCCAAAATAACCGATTTTTAAAGTTTTTTTTTCTGCAATAACTTTTGGTTCAAGCCTTGCACGAGCTTCATTTTACCGGCATCGTGTTCCTCTCGTCAAGACGCATCGACTAAAGTATAACTTGACCTTGAAAGGTCAACTTGAATATTTGAC